GATGTTACACAACTCATCTTCGAATTCAGGCCTTAGCAATCTCATTTATAAATGACGTAATAGGACTTCAGAGCCTTTTGAGTGCTAACGTTATATAACCTATGAGAGACTTCCAGAGCCAAGATACCTAGTTCAAATCCTGACTCTCCCATGAACTTGATGTGTGATTTTGGACAAATTACTTAGCCTCTTTGTATTTTAATTTCCTCATTGGTAAAATTAGGATAATTGTAGTAACTATCTGATAGAAATATTATGAACGTTAGCTATGTGTTAAGTGCTTAGAAAAAGTAGTGCCTAATAGTAGGCACTATTTTTATTTATTTATTTAATTTATTAAAATCCAAGTTAGTTAACATATAGTGTAATAATGGTTTCAGGAGTAGAATTTAGTGTTTCATCTCTTACATATAACACCCTGTGCTCATCCCAACAAGTGCCCTCCTTAATGCCCATCACCCATTTAGCCCATCCCCCCACCAACCTCCCCTCCAACAACCCTCAGTTTCTTCTCTGTAGTTAAGTATACCTTATGGATTGCTTCCCTTTCTCTTTTTATCTTCTTTTTCCTTCCCTTCCCCCATGTTCATCTGTTTTCTCTCTTAAATTCCACATATGAGTGAAATCATATATTTGTCTGCCTCTGACTGACTTATTTCCCTTAGCATAATACACTCTAGTTCCATCTACGTTGTTACAAATGGCAAGATTTCATTCTTTTTAATTGCCAAGTAGTATTCTCGTGTGTGCATATAAGGTATGTAGTGCCTGGTACTAGGCACTATTAAAAGGTGCTTATTGTTTTCATGGTCCAGTCAAGTCACATGAAGTTAGTCTGTGTGTACTATGCACAAGCTGGGCTCCTGTGTCATCAAAATTCAGCGTGGAAGGTTGTAGACCCCGTTAGAAGCACTCGGCAGAGAAGGATGAACCTCGAGCCGTGAATGCAGGAGGTGACAGTGAACAGCAGTGGAACTCTGCTAGGATGGTTTCTACCTAAGAAAACAGGAGCTTAAAAGGTACAAGGTCTGAAATAATAAAGAGCCACAGAGTGGGGTGGGGTGGGGAGGAAAAGCCCCATTGGAGTTGAGCCTCAGGGAATCTCTACTCCTTTTCAGCATACAGTGCTGAGAAGTCCCTGGTCATCTAAAGAGTCTTCACTCAAAGGGGCAGAAAATATAAACAAACCAGGTAGAAAGGCACAACAGCATAAAATGGTCAGAAAAGATTCTGGCAGGAGCCCAGGATCGCATCACAAGGAGCAAGAACTGCACACGTCAGGGTTACTCACAGAAGCACCTTGTCACAGTGAGTGGGAGCCCCGGCAAGTTCCCTGCCAGTCCCTGCCTGCCTTCCCTGCGTGGCTGATCTATTTCAGCACCAGTGAGCAAGCTGCCACTCGTGTCTGTCCTGCACAGCTCAGCACAGCAGTGTTGCCATTTGTTTATATTTGGGAAGGATACTGACCTCTGCCAAGTACCCACAGGCTTGACATCCATCATTTAATATTCCTAACAACTCTTCAAAGTAAATACTTTTGGGGTGCTTGGGTGGCTCAGTCAGTTAAGTGTTCAACTTTGGCTCAGGTCATGATCTCGTGGTTCACAAGTTCAAGCCCCTGGTGGGGCTCTGTGCTGTCAGCTCAGAGCCTAGAGTCTGCTTTGGATTCTGTGTCTCCATTTCTCTTTGCCCCTCGCCTGCTCCTACTCAATCTGTCTCTCTCTCAAAAGTGGATAAACAATAAAGAATAAATAAACAAAGTAAATACTTTTACTTCCAGAGATGTTCACAGGTTAAGTAACTCATTCAAAGTGGTCTACTCATCAGCAGAGGGTGGCTTCAAGCCCAGGACTGTCTTCTTCCAGAGCTCACGGTGTCCTTTGATCCATACCATTCTCCTTCTAGCATTGCCCCATGTCACCGTGTCATCGTCTGCACCAAGGGCATTTATGTGGGTGTCCCAGCAGGGTACCAGGCCTGGGTCAGCAGGCACAGAGGAGAATGGGCAGATGAACCGAAAGCCAAGACCTTCTGAGTGTAGTTCAAGGCATCTTCTGTGTCCACAGGATAGCCCTCTAAGCCCCTGGTATGCAGAGTACTGGATCCGCCTCTCTCAAGCCACCTGTCTGAAGGCCACAGAGTAGGCAGGAAGGAAGGCTGATTCACCCCATGGTCCTCAGCAGGCTTGGTCCTAGGCTAAAACTCCATGGTGATCCAAACCTTAGGATACAGGGTGCTCTGCTATTGATTTCTAATTTAGGTGCCTCCTGGTCTGAGAATTTGTTCTATAGGATATTGTGTCTTTTTACTTAAAGAGATGTGATTTATGGCTTAATAAGGGAGGCAATATGCCTGAATGTATGCTCATAAAGCTGGTTACAGGGATCCATGAATTTCTAACAGGTCTTTAATTGTGTTTTTCAGATTTTCTTTATTTGTCCTTAGTAATTTTTGGTTTGTTTGATGAATCGGCTTCTGAAAGTTTCTACTATGCTTGTGGATTTGTCGATTTCTTTAATTCTGTCAATTTCTGTTTTGTGGGTTTTGAAGCACTGTTGTTAGATGCATATGCAAGTTTAAGATTACTCCATATTTCATTTTTTTAAAGTTTATTTATTTATTTTGAGAGAGAGGGAGAAAGAGAACTGCAAGTAAGCTCTGTGCTGTTAGCGCAGAGCCTGACACAGGACTCAATCCCGCAAACTGTTGTTGTACCCAGATTGCATTATCCTCAAACCGGGGAGACCGAGTCACGCATGCAGAGACAAAGGGCTTTATTACGGGCTCGAGCTCGGGCTCACAGACCTCACCAACACAGTGGATCCGTGCTGTGAGCCCTGAACAAAGGCAGAGTAGGGTTTTTATGGGGTTTGTGACGGGGGAGTTACAGAAGTTGTTGACATAGGAACAGTGATCCAATCAAAATTATACAACATTATTGACAGCGGGTTTAACCATACACATTGTCTAGAGTATTTGTTACTTTTGGCGAGACCCAATTACAACATTTAGAGTACTTTTAAATTCAACCAATTACAGAGCGAGCCTAGGGTCTTGTTCGGCGCCTAATGGGTTAACTTTAACATTAGGTAACAGAGTTTTATCTATAGTTGCTGGCCTTTCTAGATTCGGTGTTGCCAAGGTAGTGTGGTGGAGTGATGTGGTGGGCAGTTTCTTTGGCCTTGGGCAGTGTGTAGCTGCCTGATAGTTCCAGCGAACTGAAACTTAGGCCTTCTAGTTTAGAGGGGAAACTTAAAGCCTGTCATGGAGTCAGTCTGGTTTAGACTTGTGTCCTTACACTGTGAGATCATGACCTGAGCCGAAGTAAGAGTCAGACATGGAACTGACTAAGCCACCCAGATGCCTCCCATTTTTCAGTCATTATGTAAAGATCATATTTATCTCTAAAGTTTTGTTTTGACTTGAAAGTAAATTATTTTTTTCTGATATAAATATTGCAATACCAGCTTCTTTCAAATAGTATACGTCTGGTATCTATTTTTCTTACCCTTATTCTCAATCTTATGTGTCATTACATTTAATGTATAGCTCATGAAAAAAAAATATATTTTAATTCACTCTGATATTCTCTGGCTTTTGACATGTATTTGGCATAATCTAACTTTTCTTTATGCTGTGATTTTTATTTGGACTCTTTCCTCTCTTTTATGTGTTTTTACTTCCATTCTCTCCTGCCCTCCATGTTTAGGAAAGTTATATATTCTTTTAATTTATTTTTTATTTTAGAGCGAGTGAGCAAGAGAGAGCGAGAGAGAGAGCAAGAGAGAGAATCTTAAGCAGGCTCCACGTGCAGAGCTGGACTTGGGGCTCGATCCCATGACCCTGGGATCATAACCTGAGCCAAAATCAAGAGTTGGACACTCAACCAACTGAGCCAGCGAGGCGCCTCAGAAAGTTATATATTATTCTGATTATCTTCTCTTAGTGGTGATCCTTAAATTTTAAAAAGTGGCTTAACTTGTATGTTAATTATATCTCAATAAAGCTGAAAAAATGTTAAATTGGCTTACCTTAAAGTTAATCCCACTCCCCCACCCCATCCTTGTAATTGTGGCTCTCTGTAGATTATGGTATAAATTAAGGGAATTCAGAAACTGTTGTGGCTAGAAGAATGTTAGAACATTTTATTCACACATCTTGTTCCACAAACCAAAGAACTCAGGCCATGTCATGTTCTAAGACTGACACAAAGACAGATGTTTCCAAAAATGGTTTATGAGCCAAATACTGAGTAGCTTCCTCAGTGTCCTTCCAGTACTGCTCAGTCCCATAACTGTGTCAGTGTGTGTGTGTGTTTATATTATATATTTATATAGTAATATATATTTAATTATATATTGATAATTATATAACAAATATATCATTATATATATACTTAAAGGGAAGATAGTGGGCCCCATCGTTGCTTCATTGTTCAAAAATACAATATTTACACCATTAGTAATAAGTCCAGCATGGTTCTAATTCCATTTGAGAAATGCTTGGGGCATTCTAAAGCAATTAGAATGACCTGGATCCACACAACTGAAAAGGACCACCACCCAGAAGGGACAAGTCATTTGGCAAATGTCTAATCATTTCTATTCTTTCCCACTTTGAGAAAACTTGATAGGGATTGGAAAAGGATGGCTGATTCATCGTTAATATAATTTATGGTTAATCTCAGGTCTTAGTTTGAAACAGATATTAATCAACATAAAGTCCTTTCTCCCCCACTAGTTGTATGGAAAACAATGTGTATATATAGATGGTGTGTATATACTTACAGATTTAGGGAGAAAATGACTATTCCATTCGTCACATTCTTCAAAACCTTAACAAAGTTTGAAACCCATTAGCTGCCATTGTTTTTCAGATCCTATAGTAGAGCTGACTCCTGGCAAATGCCAGCCCTCATCCTCCGTGTTCATAGTTCAGTTGCTTCTGGAGAAAGTGTGTCCCCTCATCTTCTTACTTGTCTGTTTTCTCTCTTTTGAAAGCTTCCTTCCTACCAGCTACTTTAACCATGACTGTGGACAGGGGAGATAATGTGAACATATCTTTCAAAAAGGTGTTGATTAAAGAAGAAGATGCAGTGATTTACAAAAATGGTAAGTATGTGCTTCGTTTCTTTCCAGCACCATGATGTGAGACATCAGAGAGTGCAAAACATGTTGGGTCATTACCCTGGTGTAGTCTGCTGGGCAGGTGTTTGAAGCAAAGCGCTATGATGCAAGCCCATTGAATTTTATTAAAGAAGCTCTATTAGGCAGTGTGGTTGGTTGCTTAATCAAGCTAAGAAGATTATCCTATATTATCACATATCCTATACACATATGAATGTATGTACATTCTATATTTATGAATGTATAATACAAAATTGTGAATGTATAATAAAACCTCATCATGATGTGATAAATGAGGTCCCAAATCCAGCCACGTAAAACGTGAGGTTGTTTGATTGCGAGGTTAAGGAATGACCACACCGACCCTAGGAAGCCAGCTGGCAGTGGTTCTGGGAGCCCATCTGCGCTGTACAAATCTGTCCAGGTCCAACTATGGTTTGGCGCCACCTGGTGGCAGTTGCCCGACCCAGGTGAGATATTGATGGGGACCATTCTGAGTCCTGTGGACGGATAGGACTTCCAGGTTGGTGTTTGTTTCCAGATATCTCCTGGTTACTTGATGAGCTGGCAGGGGTGCCTTTGCCTGTTCATCTCTTCCCGCAGAAGAGAAGCACTTCAGCTTTACCTCTGTCTTTGTAAGTTTGGTGGTAGATCATGTAGACTAACCTGTCTGCTCTATCATCATACGTTTCTCAATTTTGGGGACGGTATGGAGTAGCTCAGCCTTTTCCTTCTTCTCCTACACCCAGTATGCTAGAGCACATTTTCTATATCTGGTCAGGGAGAGCTGAGGAAGTGGATGGGCCAGACAGGGAAACAGGAGTGTCTGTGTGTAACCTGCTGTTCTCCACCCTTCTCCCTTTACCAGGTTCCTTCATCCACTCAGTGCCCCGGCACGAAGTACCTGATATTTTGGAAGTGCATCTGCCTCATGCTCAGCCCCAGGATGCTGGAGTGTACTCAGCCAGGTACATAGGAGGAAACCTCTTCACCTCGGCCTTCACCAGGCTGATAGTCCGGAGTAAGTGATTGAGAGGCCACAGTCTGTGATGATTTGGTTGTTAGCATTTATAGCTACGAGTTAACAGAAGCTGATTCTGGCTACTTAAGCAAAAACCAAGGACTGGTAGGAAGTGTATTAAGGAATCTCAAAAATTGGTGGAACAGCTGACAAGCAAGTCTCCAGAAAAGACAGGCCCCAGGGAGATCTGGGGCTCAACATGGGCGGGGGCAGATGGACTTTCTCTCTAGGATGCTACTCTTAGCCTAACTGTACTTCAGCAATGTTTCTTTTACTTCCAAAATTTGAATTCCCAGAGTAAAGAATCAGACTGGCCTATCATATGCCACATGTCTACTGGTCAAGACGAATGAGCTCTAGTCAAAGGTGGTACCACATACAGCAGTGCAGGCCCTAGGACCTCACACTTGAATAAGAGCAGGATTCCATAGAAAGGGGGAATCACAGTGAGTTGGGCAGTCTCCCAAAAGGTATCTGCTACCTTTCTGGGGAGGAATAGGGTCTTTTAGGTAGGCCTAATATATGAACATTAAGTCTCTTATAAATCCCACTATTTAACACTCAAATGGGATTTCTGTTTTCACGTCTGAAAAATGTGCAAGAATTAGAACTAGTAAAAGCTCTCCCACCGTATGACAACTACCAAAGTGGGGAGTAACCATCCGCCATTAGTTTTTATAAGACATTGATTTATAGAAAGAAAAACCTGCCTTGAATTTTCCCAGCTGTACTGAGTATTTGTGCTCTTAAATACTCAGGCTCAAGCATTTGGCTGCTCTGTCATTCTTTTAATGATCGGAATCTCTAACTTGTGAACAGTTTTGCTTTTGCTTTGCATTATATTCATTTATTCATTCATCTGTTTGTTCATTCAACAAATGCATATTGATCATAACCCTGTGCCCAGCACTGTGTTGGTATGAAAATGCAAGGATAATAAGATGAGTCATGTCCCTTGGGTAGCTCTCAGAACAGCTGCATAGGTAAACAGATAAATGGTTTTGCATTATGACAGTAGAAGTATGAAAAGTGTGGTTGATCTGGTTTGGGCAGGTGAAATCTCCTTTTATTCCACTGCTCTCACTGAGAGTCCAAATGGCCAGAGCACGATTTGCCTTCATTTCATTTAGATGCTTTCTCTCCAGTCTAGTATAGCACCACGTACCAGCAGTACTGAAGTCTGGGGTATATAGGCACATTTTCTAGCAATCTCAGAAACATCAGATGTTGACATATGGTAAAAGGCTTAATTTTCTTTTATTTTTCTTTTTAAAGTTTATTTATTGTGTGTGTGTGAGAGACTGAGAGAACATGCAAGTGGGGAATGGACAGAGAGAGAGAGAGAGAGAGAGAACGTGCAAGTGGGAAAGGTACAGAGAGAGAGAGAGAGGGACAGAGAGAGAATCCCAAGTAGACTCTGTGCTGTCAGTGCAGAGCCTGATGTGGGACTTGATCTCACAAACCACGAGATGGTGGCCTGAGCTGAAACCAAGAGTCAGACGCTTAACTGACTGAGCCACGCAGGAATCCCTAACTTTTTTTTTTAGATGTGAAAACAAACACAATGTAATATATACTAGAATTTGAAACTCACCTGATTTTTAAAGTTAAAGATTTCAAACACATTTTGATCTCTAGCTTATCTCGTGAGATTGCTAGGAACACGTGTTCATTCCTTTGCTGTTAGGAGTATTTTGGTGGAACTATTTGAGAAGCATGGCTAATATGTAAAATAATTCTAAGAAAGTCTGAGTTGGGCTACAACCATCCCATTTAAGAGTACTTTTACCCAGCATGATTTATTTGATGTTTTACGAAATGCGGTACAGCTGAAGGCACTTGTTCATTTCTCATAACTGTAGGATGTCTCTCCAGGACAGATTGAAACCTAGGAATAATCGGTACATAACGATGTTGCGTTAAAAATCACACTGGTTATATTTATAGGATTTCTCTCCAATATAAATTCTCTCTCTGACAAAAGATCTCTCACAACCACTGAGTTTACAGGATTTCTCTCTGCATGCATGAATATTTGGTTTCCTGAAATATAAAACCTCAGGGCTTTTGAAATCACAGAAGCCTGATTGTATACTTGTTGCTTAACAAACTCTTTTCCTGGCTCCTCCATCCCCAAGAGGTCACCCCAGTTTCTTCCCCAATCTTTATTCTTTCATCCTTCCCAGGATTAGGGGAGAGGCTGGGACAGGTCTATAGATAAGTAAACAGCTAGAGACATAGTTTAATATGAGGAAGCTCATTATCATCTCCATAGGCTGCCATCGTTTGTTTTCAACATGTGCAGATAACCTGTGGTCTGGCTGTCAAGAAATCACTAATCGTGCAGAATTATTTTTCCCTTTATATATTAAGACATGTAAATACTAGCTTTTAGACATTTTGTAGCTTTATCTATTAAGTGGAAGTCTGTAAGAAAGGGTCTGGGTAGACAGTCTTCCTGATTATTTTAGAGAAAATACTGATAACCAGGAGTTCTTGCCAAAGCAATTATAAAGTTACATCAGCTGTAGGCACAGGTCCAAGCTTACCACCGTGAGACTACTATTCAGGGACAAAGACACTAGTTCCTTTCAGATGAGAAATTAAATTCCTGACCACAAAGGGTCATCCCAATCCCCCTGAGTTTTTTCCTTGTATCAGAAGGTGTCCTTGGATGTAATTAACCATCTAAAATCGCCAAGTGTTAGAAAAAGTATCCATGTAAAAGAATCTAGAAGCATTTTACCATTCTTGTATTTTAGGTTCTATGTGTCTTGTTTCACTTCTTCTATGTTTTTGAAAAAATAAGTGGATGCTCCTGGCTTCTGCTTTCTTTTTTAGCTGAATCTTTTCTCTAGATAACTGTAGACTGGAGGTTCTCATACTCTGGCATGCAGTGCCTGGAGAACTTGGTAAGCATAGGTTGCCAGGCCACCTGAGAATTCTCATTCAGTAGGTCATGGATGGGGAGTACGTTTGAGATTTGCCTCTTTAGCAGATTTCCAGATACTGGAGAAGCTTTTGGTCAGTGATCGCACTTTGAAAACCATTGCTCTGTCTCTAACCATTCATGCAGCTCTTGAACACACCAGGCTCTTCTCCCCTGTCTCACCTTTGCTTGGAACATACTCTGCAGCCTGCCTTTCTTGCTAACTGTATGGTCCTCCAGATTCAGCTCACATACACTTCCTCTGGGAAGCCTTCCTGTATGTCCTCTTCCATCCCCAAGACAGGATTAGATACTCCTTGTCTTTGTTTCCATCCTTATTTCCTGTTTACATGTCTGTTTTGCATATAAGACCATTGGCTTTTAGAGAACAAAGATTATATTCTGTTTATCTTCATTTGCCAGTGTCCACTAAAATGACTGACAAGTCGTGGGTGCTCAGTAAGCCTACTGAGTTAATGTGCTCTACTCACCAGAGCCTTGTTTTCCTTAAAAGGATGTGAAGCTCAGAAGTGGGGACCTGAATGTAACCGCATCTGCACTGTTTGTATGAACAACGGTATCTGCCATGAAGATACAGGAGAGTGCATTTGCCCACCTGGGTTTATGGGGAGAACATGTGAGAAGGGTAAGTCAAGAGTACTTGCTGAGTGAGTTGTAGATTTCAAAAGCCATCATGGCCTGATTCAGAATTTGAACTCTGGGTACAATTGGGAACAGAAGTTAAATGGCCTTTGTTAGGCCATATGGTAACTTGGTGTGAATTAGAAAAAGGTACCCTTTCCTAGGGGTTCTTGATTGCCAGTTGCTGAAAAGCTGTCCATGCCACAGCTGAGATCGGCTTATTTTCCATTCTCCAAAGTCTAGGAGAGACCCTTTAAGAGAAGACTCCTACATTCCATGGGGTTGACTCTTTGACTCTGAGTCCTCTTTTTCTCCCCCTCCAAGCTTGCGAACTGCACACATTTGGCAGAACTTGTAAAGAAAGGTGTAGTGGACCAGAGGGATGCAAGTCGTACGTGTTCTGTCTCCCAGACCCCTATGGGTGTTCCTGTGCCACAGGGTGGCAGGGTCTGCAGTGCAATGAAGGTACGTACCAGTCTCACCCCTGAACAGAGAAAGTTCTAGCAGGTATACCAGGGAGGTCCAGCTTGCTGGAAATAACAGTGCGGGATATACCTGGGCTGTCCAGCCAGCCATCCACTGCTGAGCTACAGGGTTTTCAATCATGGATGTTTTCATCTAGATTAATTATGTTTTCGTAATTAAGACTCAGACGTTATAGAATGTGCTTCTCATGCACATCATCTGGAGTTCTTATTAGAATACTGATGTTGTTTCCATAGGTTCGGACTGGCACCTGGGGCTCTGTATTTCTAACAAGCTCCCAGGTGGTGCTCATGCTGTTGGTTTTAGACCGCACTTGGAGTTGGAAGGCTATAGAGGATTTGTTTTTTCAGTGGGATAGATATCAGGGCTCTTAGGTCCGATCCAGACAAGATATGGGATTTGAAAATAGAGGAAGATCTTTTCTTCTGTGGACCTTACTTAGGCAGTACTGGTTGCATATTTTTGGTATTAAGATGTTTTAATTGTTGAGCTTGAATGCCTTCTTAAGTGATGGCTTTAACTTTACCTACTCAAAGAGTCCCTCTTCCCTTCCTAAAATATACCTTCCTGTTCAGTGAGGCTGAGTGGTATGTGTTTCACATCTTTCCATTCTGGGTTTCCCATGTCCTACGGTACAGTAGCTTGCCACGAATATGCAGTCAAGGTTGCCAGACCCTCTCTCATGAATGCTAATGTGGTGAATTAACCAGAGCTCCAAGATTTGTCAGTGTTTACCTCACAAAGTCAGCTGCTTCCACATCTGGCATATTGAGAGCTATGATGGAGTCCCAGCAACTCGGTAACAATGCTCTGGGGCTGAGCAGTTCTGTACAAATAGAAGAAAGCCACATATGTAATTGAAAGCTTTCTAGTAGTCCCTTTTAATAAAAGCTAAAAGCAACAGTGGAGATAATTTTTAGGATTTTATCTTACCCAATCAATAGCTTGGAGAGCCACCCACAGCCTTAGTTTTCTCCCTTCCCCTGTGTTAACCATGGTTCTGCTGTCTTTGTCTACAGCATGCCAGCCTGGTTATTACGGGCCAGACTGTAAGCTTACTTGCAGGTGCAGCCATGGGGAGACGTGTGATCGGTTCCAAGGATGTCTCTGCTCTCCAGAACGTCAAGGGCTCCAGTGTGAGAAAGAAGGTAAAGCAAGGTAACACTGTAGTTCGGGCCATGTTCAGCATGTCTAAACTGAGCTTTGCTGGCTATAATTCTCGCCTCAGCAGCCCACATTCCTCAAGCCATTTCTATTTCCTTCCGGAAGTTGGGAAGAATATATCCCAAGTCCTAAAGGACAATATCCTAGTTCTTTCCCCCAGGCCCTCATACTGGCCTTCGTTTCTCCTTCCTCTAGGAGTAAACCATAGGCACTCTGTGACACATTAAGTGATGATTGGCTAGTTGAGGGCTCTGCCTGTCTCTTTTCCCTTCCTGGGACGGGTCTTTTCCCTTGATATGCACAACAGGGAAGAACTACTTTGGAGGGATTTGGATGAAGGCTATTTTTGAAAAGAAAGATATAAAAAAGAAGGAAAAACAAAAAGATTACCCTCAAGATGAAACTTTAAATAATTCTAGTTCAGCAATTACCCTAGAAGAAAGCCTGACCCACAGACCAAATCCAACTCACTTTTTAAAAAATTTTATTTATTTGTTTTGAGATAGAACCAGCAGGGAATGGGCAGAGAGAGAGGGGGACAGAGGATCTGAAGCAGGCTCTGTGCTAAGAGCAGAGAGCTCGTTGTGGGGCTTGAACTCATGAACCTTGTGATCATGACCTGAGCCGAAGTCAGATGCTTAACTGACTGAACCACCCGGGTGTCCCCCAATCCACTATTTTTAACAGCTATATTGAGATAGAATTTTTATACCATGAAGTTTATCCCTTTTAAAAGTACAATTAAATAATTTTTTTTATATATTTAGGGTTGTGCAACCATCACCATAATCTAATTTTATAATGTTTTCGCCATACCAAAACAAACCTTGTACCTATTGGCTGTAACTCCCATTTTCTGCTCCTCCCAGCCCCTGGCAATCATTAATTTACTTTCTGTCTTTATAGATGTACTTATTCTTGACATTTCATAAACTATAAATGGGATCATACATTATGTGGTCTTTTGTGGCTGGTTTCATTCACTGACTATTTTAAAGTTTAGTTGTATTGTAGCATGTATCACTATATTGTTCCTTTTTATTTGCCTACCATCTGTTGTGATAAAGAAAATTTTACTGGAACACAGCCACACTAAATCCTTTAGAACGTATAATGTATGGCTGCTTTCACACCACAGCAGAGCTGAGTAGTTACTTACTACAGAACTTTCGGCTTGCAAAGCTGAAAATATGTACTGTCTAGTCCTTTTAGAAAATGTTGACTAGCTCCTGCCCTAGAATATACTTTTTAAAATTAAAAGAAGCATACTTTTGCATATTTTCAAAATTTAAAAATAATAAATACATAGTACCTTCTCAATCCTATAAATGTCAGTGTTATAGAAAGAAATCTACAGTCAGAGCAGCAAGACCAAGAGCTTCACAGCTTTGTTCGCTTTTAAAATCAGAACCGATATAGGAGGAAAATACCAACAATTGTTTTCTCAAGGCTTTGGCTTAGCTCTACATGTTCACTTCTTTCCCCCACGTTCAGACTCTGCTTCAGAGCAGGAGCCTGGGAGGGTGTAGGAAGGGAGGGGGAGGTGTTGGACTTGCCAGAGGATTGCATTGAAAATAGGCAACTGACAAGCCGAAGGATTTGAATTTTAAATTTTATACCCGCTTTCCTGTTCTGAGCCTGAAGTTGCAAAAGGCATGAGAAACTCAGACCCGGACCCCTGCCCTTGGGCTTTCAGAGAACAGTCTCCTTCCCCCCAGTTCTGCTCTACCTCCCCTGCACCTCTGACCAAAGGCAAGACAAAGCGATAATGAAGGAAAGACATAACTGGCTTAAAAGTATCAAAGCACTTTTGGGACACCTGGGTGGCTCAGGCGGTTAAACATCTGACTCTTGGTTTTTTTGGCTCACGTAATGATCTCACGGTTCTCGAGTTCAAGCCCTCCATCGGGCTCCATGCTGACAGTGTGGAGCCTGCTTGGGATTCTCTCTCTCCCTCTCTGTCAGCCCCTCCAAAACTCACTCTCTCTGTCCCTCTCTCAAAAATAAATACACTTTATAAAAAATAAAAATGGAAAAAAGTATCAAAGCACTTTTTACAATCCCTACTCGAATACCTTCTGAGGCTGAAAAATCTGGTAGATTCTAGTCACAATCTTTTCAAGTCTATAGATGTATCAAGGAATTACCTTTAGAGTTATTAGACCTTTTCTCCTTCTCCTCCATACTATTTCCTCATCATATTTAGGCCTTAGAAAGAGGATATCAATATAAAATATCAATATTGTATTTACCACGCCCTCCTCCCCTCCCCCGATAAAAGAGCTTGTAAGTCACTGTTGCTCTGGGGGCACTTACATCACCCACATTCCTCACTAAGTGCTGGACTGCTTTCTGCCTCATTTCACGTTTACTTACAAAGGGTCTGAGGTTCTCTAAGACCCCACAATTCAGAATAAAATTGTTCTATTTCAGGATTATCCATTCTCTACTGCATAGATATTAGGCAAGGAGCCTTGATACCTTCGTTGTTACCAGAGACCTTTTCTTTTGGTGTTGTCAGCCATACTTTTCCTTTGGCTGTTGCCTAGAAACCAATCTGGGGCAGTTACAGTCTACTTCCTGCATGTAAATGTGAATGTTTTTAATCTCCTTCTACTTGGAGATTCCCAATCAATGAGTTATGTCTTGTATATCAAAACGGAGGATCAGCAATGGGTGGGATTGTTGGCTGAGTCAATTAGAACCTAGTTTTGGGTTTTTTTTTCTTTGCTTTTGTTTCTCTTAAAAAGTAAAAGAAGCTGAAAATTAAGGCTGGGGGTGTGGCCATGATGATCATTTTAATATAGAGACTGTCCATCTCAGATCCATTGAGGGGAACACAGCATTAGGACTGAGTGTAGACTCTGGATTCATACAGATCTGATCTTGATTCTGGATTCAGAGCCTCAGTCTCCTCATCTGTAAAATGGAGACTACAATAGCTTGCCCCTACAAGTTTATTACATGATGATAAAATGATATAACATTTGCAGAGTTCTTACCTGGGGCATGACTTGCTAAATGGTAGCTGCTTTTATTATTTCTTGCTGTTATGTTAAAGACTAGATGTCACAGTGCTGTTTTCTTCATGCAGGTATGCCAAGGATGGTCCCAAAGATAGAGGATTTGCCAGAGCACATAGAAGTAAACAGTGGTAAATTTAATCCCATCTGCAAAGCGTCTGGCTGGCCACTACCTGCTAATGAAGAAATGACTCTCGTGAAGCCGGATGGGACAGTGCTCCATGTAAGAGTTATTCTTAATCTGTCTCCTGATATCACTAGATGCTTTCTACACAGTAATCTCCTCATTGAAGGCTAGGTTCCACACAGGGCTTGCGTCTTCTTAAGCTAGTCTGTTTGACAAAATGCTTTAACAAAATGCCATGTCTCTGAGGAGGTAGAGCAGATTCAACACAGTGTGGCCAGTGCTATGGTGCCAGGTTGGAAAGAGACCACCACAGTCTATCTACCAAGGCTGGCACTTATCCTGCAGAACTTTCCAGCTGTGTGTGTTGAGAAGTATATGTCAGCCTGTGCAAGGCTTTGCCCTCCCCGCAATATCCCCATGTTCTAACTTCTATCAGGAAGAATGAGGTGGTCTTGTGGCAACGTAGGCGTGGCCTCATGAAGCAGCAGGAGATTCATAGCACCTGCCAGGTGCTATTAGGAAATGGTGCTTTGATGACTGGTCTACTTCTATTCTCTTTGGAGCAAAAATTAGCAGAGTGTAAAAGAGGGGAGGTCAGGACAGCCCTTCTGACTCTAGGGAAATCTCCCACATTTCCTGTTCAGAAACCATGATCCATGGAATCCCTTGGGTCTGAGGACAATTCCTTGGCCTCCCTACTTCTCCACTCTGCCCTTGATGCTGGTGCTCAGCAGTGGTTAGTGTGCTCTCATAGCAGTTCATCTCTGCTGAAAGGACTAAGCAACTTTTCCAGTATGTTTGCTTTCTTTCTCCCAGCAATCCCAAATGCAGCACAGAGGAGTTCTCCAAATTTCTCTGTGTCACAAGTGATCCTCAGGAAGTTGATGTGTTTTCTTATCTAAAGAATTTGATGTTTTTTAATGTTTTATTTAGTTCTAGGAGAGAGAGAGAGACAGCGTGAGCAGGGGAGGGTCAGAGAGAGAGGGAGTCACAGACTGAAACAGGCTCCGGGCTCCAAGCTGGCAGTCAGCACAGAGCCCGACGCGGGGCTCGAACCCACGAACCGCGAGATCATGACCTAAGCGAAAGTCTGACGCTTAACCGACTAAGCCACCCAGGCGCCCCTTATCTAAAGATTTTGAAGTGGTTATCTTTTTCTCTCTCAAAGATGATTGAACATCAACTTGACAATAGAGTAGATGCGAGTGACCTCTTGAGGGCAGGATAGGTAAAAAATGTGCCATTATTGGTGTCTGCACATCAGATATTCTTGATTCCACCCAAAGAACTCATTAGTTAGTGAAACCAGTTAACAGCTTCCTAAAATCTTGTTGGCCTTTTCATGAATTAATGGAAATAAGAGCTACCATTTAGTAAGGGTCAACCATACTGTATATTGCTTAATTTTACCTGTCCCCTTTTTGTAGAAGTGGAAATGGGCTGGGTGAAGTTGAGTAACTAAGAAGTTGGTGAAAAGTGACAGAGCAGGGATGTGAATTGAGGTCCGTGTGTCTCCAGAGCCCTGTTTTCCCTAAAACACCACACTTGACAGCTCAATTGTTTTGGAAAGCCATTTTGTCGTCTCTGTAATTCAGCCATCGCTGTATTAAATTGGGAAGGAACAAACGTTACCAGAAGCACTTTAAAAGAGCTAGATTCCTAGCTTGTGTTTACCCCACACTCCCAAACATACAAACACAACAGCAGGATCTGAGAGGGCATCAATCCAATATAAACTTTCAGGGCTACTACAATAGCTTTGGAAATAAGCCAATGATTATACTAGCATTGCATTTGGCTTCTTAATCTCTCCTAGAAAACTTCTTATCAAACAATGAGGTGGGGTCAGTGTTATGAACCTTTTGTGTGTTTATGCCTCCCTACAAGCTTTTATTTGTATTTGACCCTTCTAGCCAAAAGACTTCAACCATACGGGTCATCTGTCCGTGGCCACATTCACCATCCACCGGGTCCTCCCTCCTGACTCAGGGGTCTGGGTCTGCAGCGTGAACACAGTGGCTGGGATGGTGGAAAAGCCTTTCAACATTTCTGTTAAAGGTAAGCTCCATTTTCTAGAGGTAGAGCTTGCATCCTTGATGCATTGTGCTTATGTCTCACTGGGTGCTGCTCCAAGACAGAAATGTTATCTGAGCACTAAAATGCCTTTTGGATATTTTCCAGGAGAGAAAATCTTATTTTTTTTTTATATGCATGAAATGGAAGGGAGGGATTAAGTATATGACCTGTGGAGTCACACAGCCCTGGGTTTGACTTTTGTCCCTACTAGCCAGACACCTGTCTATGGCCCTGAGCAAATGAGTTTAACCTCTCTGAGCCTTTCTTTATCCGAAAATAAAGCTTAGTTTATCTGCCTCTCAGAGTTACTGTGAAAATTTGTTAAATATGTAAAAACACTTGGAGTTGTGTCTGGAACAACATGTCTCCTAGTGTTTATAGTTCATGAAAAGTTTGACTTCATCATTGTTGTGACTTCCTATTCACTATTGCAGAGAATAGTTTGGAAAATACTCTGAGGATTACTCACTTATTATGAAGCCCAGACTATGCTATATAATGAACATGAATTCACATATTCAGAATTGTGAGTAGTCTTCCTGCTATGAATTAGTATTTCAAAATTCAGATTAATCTAAGTGGATGTGTGTATACTTGTGACTGGAGTGGAGGAAGCAACGTGGAGGTCAATCCAAGTTAGCTTGGCTGGTATACATGGACACCACTAGGAATTTTTAATTTGTCAGTTTATTATGAACCCATTTAGAGAGAAAGAGCTAACAGCTCTCTGATACATGTTGTAGAAAGGCATTGGGCTAAGTGCCTCACATACCTCATCTTATTTAATTTTTGTAAGAACTATGTGTGATAGATGTTATCACCACTTCACCTGTCAGAAAACAGGTTCAGAAGGTTTAGTTAACGTGTGTAAGGTAGCATATCTGTTAAGGAGTAAATCTTAGTTTTGAACCTGAGTCTCCTGACTCCAAATACTGCACCATCTTTTCTAGACCATTTTATTTTCTGAGACTCTTGTGTTAAAGATTAAGAAGCAAGATAACCAACGTTGACTTGTATTTCTCCCATTTTGTTACCTGATTTAGAAATCTTTGGGCTATCCCAGATGTAATGCCCATAAATGAAATAAATGTAAATGCTCCGAACATAATCCTTTTTTGAAAGACCAATAGAAACATTAGCCTGAATACAACCTTATAGATTTGGATTCTCTACCCTGAGAATCCATGTAAACTGCCACAAAATCTCTAATATATTTTGGATTACTGGAAAAAAGCCCTGATCTGCTTTATTCAGTAGAATGTTCACATGACCAAAATAATTTCTTATATCTTGCATGTTCTTGAAAGGAAGGAAACGATATGCAGACAAGACAAATTACCTTATTTTTAAGTTGTTGGAATGTTTGCTGCCCATGGAAAATAAATAATTCAAAAATAACCATGTTGCTAAGATTCAGAAGAGTCAGTAGTTCTCATTTTTATTTTTAGTGGAAGTCACAGCACACAACATCAGTGCATAGAAACATTTGTATTATGAGGGTATGGGTACCTCTTTATATCATATTTACTGATATCCATAAAATGGAAATCACCATTAAGTAAATTAATCAGTGTCTTTAATCGTAGTATATACATATATTTAAAAAAAAAAAAGATGCAAGGCTTTTACTACCAGAATATATGTTGGTACAACCACTTTGGAAAACTGAAAATATATACTGAAACTAATCATTCACATACCTATAACCTAGCAATGCTTCTATATACATGCTCTAAAGAAATGAGTGTGTATGTTCAAAAAGACATCTTCAATAATGTTCAGAGCAGTTTTATTCATAATAGCCCCAAATTTATATTAACCCAAGCATCTATCAACTTTATAAGGGATACATGTATTGTAGTATCCTCATATGTAATGGTTTGCTAGAGCTACCATACAAAGTACCACGGACTAGGTGGCTTAAACAACAGAAATTTATTTTCTCAAGTGCTGGAGGCCAGGTGAGTGATTAAGGTTTCAGCAGAGTTGATTTCTCCTAAAGCTTACTCTTTGGCTTATGAATGGCTATCTTTTCCCTGTATTTTTCATATGGTCATCCCTCTGTGTGTGTCCTGATTGAATCTTCTAAGGACAACAGTTACATAGGATTAGGAACAGACCTAATGATGTCATTTTAACTTAATTACCTCTTTAAAGACCCTATCTCCAAATGTACTTACATTCTGAGGTACCTAGGGGTTAAGAATTCAGCGTAAGAGTTTTGGGGGAATACAGTTCAGCTCATAACATCTTACAATGGAATATTAAATAGCAAAAAAAAAAATGAATTCCTGCAACGATATGGATATCATAGACAAAATATTGAGGAAACAAAATAAATGCTTTGTGATTCCATATCAAGTTTATATTCCACATAAATTTATATTCTATATAAATATGAAGTTAAAAACAGACAAAACTAATTGACAATGACAGAAACCAGGATAATAATTCCCTATTGATAAGGCAGGGGCACAAGAGTGGCTTCTGGGGTGGTGGGGATGCTGGAAATGTACTCTGTCTCTGTCTGGGTCATGGTGACATGGGTATGTGCCCAGGTGAAGTCCTTTGAGCTAAATATTAAGATTTTTGGACTTGACATTATGTATGCCTCAATAAAAATTTTTAAAAGACAAAAAATAAAATGATAAATTACTAAGAGGAAGCTTTGGGGCAATTTGTTTCATGCTTGTGAAAGTATCCCTTTTGTAATATAGGGTATTAATAGCTATAATAAAGTAAGCACTTGGTGGTTTAAGCAAACAGGTGGTCTTCTTTGATCATACAAGGGAAACATGACTTAATGAATGAATTTACTCACAGAGGTGCCCTCTTCTCAGACACTGCCCTAAGCAAAAACATTGGCAGAATCTGGAAGATTCTTGGGGAGGAAAACAACAGGGGTGCATTTTTAAGAAGGATGGTTTAATGGAGCTACAGAACTCACTAGAAATTCAATCAATAAACATTTACCCAGCACTTGCTAAACCTCCATGGTCTTTGCCCTTTTGGGGTTCAGAGTCCAGTGCAGTGTTTTACAACCTTTTTATCATTATCACCTAACCAAGGAGTCTCTTTAGAAATTTATTCCCCAACTCTCCTCCCATCACCATAAAATGTTAATATCATGAATGTACTGCATATCTGTTTATGTACTGAGGCTCTTTGGTGGGCCACAAACCATTGTATTATCTGAGGCTTTTTCAAAATCCCACAATAATCAATTTTAACCACCTTAGGGTTGTTATTTCACCCCATTGAGAATAGTTGGTCTTTGAGATGGGGAGATTATTCAGGAGGATCTGGGTGGACCTACTGTAATCACATGAGTCCTTAAAGCAGAGAATTTTTCTTAGCTATAATCAGAAAGAGATAGCACAATGGAAGAAAAGAGTTAAAGAGACATGATATTGTTGTCTTTGAGGATGGAGGAAGGGGCCACGAGCCAAGGAACGTAGGTGATTTCTAGAAGTTGGAAAGAACAAGGAAACAGAGTCTCCCCTAGAGCTCCCTTACTGCCCTGCTAACACCTTGATCTTAGCCCAGTGAGACCCATGTCTGACTTCTGACCTCTAGAACTGTAAGAATAAGTTTGCATTGCTCTACACCAGAGAGAGAGAGAGAGAGAGAGAGAGAGAGAGAGAGTGCGCATGCATAGTCTAGAGGGAAGATTGCTGAATGGTGAGTTAAGAGGTACCAGAGAAGAGTGGGAGGTCTGGAGCATTGCTGGCAGAACAACATTTACAAAGAACCTGAGACAGAAGGGAGCTTGGTGTATTGTCAGTTGGATGAACTGAAAGGTCATTGGCACTGGAGGGTACTGGGTAGGGCAAGAGGAGGCAGGGGTTCAATTGTGCAAGGCCTGACAGGTCATAGTATGAATCTTATATTTTACTTTAGACATGATAGGATCCACAGTTAGGTCTTGAGCAGGGGACTGAGCATATTTTAAGGAGTACTTTGTGGATAATGTGTTGGAGGGCAAGATCAAAGCTGGGAAACCACACCGCAGGCAAATGCATTGAATCTGATCAAAGAACTCTAAGAATGATATGGGAAATGGGAGGAGTTCTCTGGCCCTGAAACCTCAACCACCAGCCTAGTGCCACGTTCCTGACTCCGTTGTGAGAAAGAATTCAAAGAGTCAAAGTAGAACAGGAGAAGCGTTATTGGAAAGCAAAAGTGCACACTGACAGGGGATGGGTGGAGTGCAGGTGCAGTCGGATACAGGATCTGAGTCGGTTGGGTAGAGACAGGGTTCTACTCTCTATGGGTAGTCATAACTAGGGGATGGTGTGTTCTTGTAGGGTTCTGGGAATAGGCGGGGACTTCTAAAACCTCAGCATATTATTTCGCATAGTCCATGTCAGCTACTATACACAGGTGCAATCTGATTTTTCTCTTGTGGCTTCTCCATAGTCAGGAGGGACTAGGAGCACTTTAGCACCCCCAGTGCTGGAGTCATTCTTGGTCATTTGCAGGCTAACAGGGTCTGTGTGCATGTGTGCCATGAGCTTGAGCAACAACAGGATTCTTATGGCCGTGAGAAACCACAGAGCTGTCACAGGGGTTACCCAGATGTCACACTCTGTCAGGTGTCAGACTCAGTTCCCTGTCTTTGGTTGCTCTTGCAGTTACCAGCGTTTCCCTTTTGCACCTGCTTCAAGAGGGTTTTGTTCGAAATGTAAGGGCACTCATCCTCCACCAAAGAATCTCTGCCAAAGAATGATAAACTCCAGAGTGTTAAGGACTAATCTGATTGTTGAAATTTTGTTTAGTTCTTCCAAAGCCCCTGAATGCCCCAAACGTGATTGATACTGGACATAATTTTGCTGTCATCAACATCAGCTCTGAGCCTTACTTCGGGGATGGACCAATCAAATCCAAGAAGCTCCTATACAAACCCGTTAATCATTATGAGGCTTGGCGGCCTATTCAAGGTAAGGTGTGAACAGGAAAGAATCCAACTATGGAAGTGGCATGGGTAGAGAAAAAAATTCCTCAAATACAGAAATCCTCTCTCCCACTCCCATTCCTCTGCCCCAGGGTAGCAGCTATAGCAGAGGGTTCCATTTCAGAGTATTCAGGACAGAGTGCATATGGGTCCTGAGTTCTTGGGCTAACTTTCTGGAAGCCGTGGTGTGCTTCAGGACACAGAACCGGGCTGTGTCAGGTGTCACTATCAGTATTTCTTTCCCAAACTTCTCTGGATCTTCAGTCCTCTTTTTAACTACTCTATATGGCTTGGTCATGGTGGAAGATACATGCTTATGCCATGAATATGGTAATAGGAAAGTCCAGGGCCTGCTCAAAAGGCAGAGACTGTCTTAAATCTGAAGCGTGATTGTTGCTGATGTAGTGAGTTGTTCATTCTTTTCCTCATTTGAGTCTTGCCCTGTTCTGCAGGCTCCTAACACACAGAGATTTTGAAAGGAATTTGGACCTGAAAAGTTTGGGCTGTAGCATACTAAACTGGTGTTAGCGGGGGCGGGGGGGAGGGGTTAGGTATGTGGGCAAAGAGCTGCCCCTCCCCCCAACTAAAGAACCCAAAATGTGATCAAATGTCAACAGTTCACGGAAACAGTTACATCTATTTTGAAACACAAATTGCAGCTCCTTGTGTTCTGTGATGATGTAAATCAGTTTTTAAAAAGAAAGCTGAGCATTGTCAATTGACTGGCTGTATTCACACCATCTTGTAGAGAAAGCTCTCACTACCCTGCTTGTAGACAACATGCATCCTTTAGTCTCACTATGCTTGTGATTTCCTAAAAAGGGCCCTCCACACACTCTATGTAGGTAATTGATGAAGTTACAAGAAGGAGAAAAAAAGGAGGTTTGAGCTGACCTGGGTATGTTAAATTAAGTCATTGCTTTGTTACTGACCTCTTCACATTCTATTCTAGACTCAGCTGAAATTCAGAATCCCAGTGACTGTAAGGCTGATTTGCTAAGTTGCTGTTTACAGTAGCAATGGCTAGGTCTCATTAAAAAGCTTTTTTTTTTTTTTCATACGGTGGTACTAATCCATCATCATTTTTTGCAAGTGGGCATCCATAAAGTGTTCTAAGAACTCTTAAACGCAGCCCAATTCTTGTTTCTTACCAACTGGGAATTTATCATACGGTAAGGCAATCATTTGCAATAGCTATGGAGGAGAGAGGCTGGCTAAAGCTAATAGCTAAACATGCATATACTATTTGTTTATGGGCTCTGTTTTCAAGTACTTGAGAGCCCTTCATGTGTAAGTAGTATAACTATTACAAATCTGTTATCTGGTCTTTGTTTTTGTTTTTTTTTAATTTTTTAACGTTTATTTTTTGAGATACAGAGAGACAGAGCACAGGCAAGGGAGGAGCAGAGGAGAGGGAGATACAGAATCAAAAAGCAGGTTCCAGGCTCTGAGCTGTCATCACAGAGCCCAATGCAGGGCTCGAACTCACAAACCATGAGATCATGACCTGAGCCGAGGTCAGAAGCTTAACCAACCAAGCCACCCAGGCGCCTCTGTTATCCGGTCTTTGTAAACAAACTCCCAAAGATTGTCTCTGTTGAGAGCCTGACTGCAATCACTATATATTTAAAAACAGTGGCAATTAAATTATGTCATATTGTAATTGGGATTTTCCCCCCTTAAATCTAATTGTTATTTCTTATAGTTGAATATTTGTGTGGTTTTACCCTACAAATGAAAAGACAAAGGCCCTAATGCAAGAGTGATTAACTGGCTCAGAGAGACCTACATTAAATGTATACATCGTAACCTGGAAACTTTTTTAAAAAAGCCTTTTTCCCATATGTTAGGAATGGCTTGCCTGTTTCACTTAGACGTTGTACTTCTGAAAACCAAACTCTAGTTCACATCGCAATAACAACATTCCGCTTTAAACAATGTACTAGAATGCCAACTTAAGTTTCCTGGACTTTCCCTCTTCTCAGTGACAAATGAGATTGTTACACTCAACTATTTGGAACCTCGCACAGAATACGAGCTCTGCGTGCAGCTGGTCCGTCGTGGAGAGGGCGGGGAAGGGCATCCGGGACCCGTGAGACGCTTCACCACTGCTTCTATCGGTCAGTGGAAGCAAACAGCATTTATTCCTGCGCTGGGTGGGAGCGGGGAGGAAGGGGAGAGAGGAAGGAAGACCAGGAAGGGTGGTGGTGGGCGAGTGGGTGGGTGGGGGTGCAGGGGGAAGGAGTTTACTTTTGAATGGGTGGGAAAGTGACAGGAAGGTTGACAGCTTGGAGCCAAATCGTTTTTTATTTGGGCTGCACTCCTGGTTTATCTCCCTGGGGGAGGGTGTCTGCAGCAGTCAGGGACGGAGGAGGAAGCAGATGAGCCTTCAGGAAGGCAGGGACATCCCTTAGGAGTTGGGATTTACTTAGCAGCAACTGCTTGGTTCCTGAGTTTTACCAACAGCTTCCTGTTTCCATCTTAAGGGCTTAGGACTCTTGCCATATTCCTACTTCAGAAAGCCCAGTTGATTTATTTTCAAAACTAATTTCTAATGTTTCAAACTAATTCATGCACATAGTTAAAACGGCAAATAGAACGAAAGGCTGTTATGTAAAGAACAGCAGACCCCTGTTCCGCCTCCCCATCTCTGAGTGCTTCTTCCTACAGGCAGCCAGTTTCACCTCCGTAAGCTACTTTCTGGTTTTTGTTGTTTGTTGTTTGTGTTTTTTTTTCTTTTTGGAGAAAGTGCAAGTGAGTAAGGGGCAGAGGAAGAGAAAGAAAGAGAGAGAGAAGTGGGGCTCTTGTTTACCCAAAGCAGGACTTGAGCTCATCTGATGTGGGATTAGAACTCACCAAGAGTGAGATCATTACCTGAGTGGAAGTCAGATGCTTAACACCTGAGCCACCCAGGTGTCCAAGCTGCTTATTATTACATATACCTCAGTGGTTCTCAAACATTAGTGTCCATAAGAATTACCTGGAAAGCTTGTTAAAACAGATCTCTGAGCCCCACCCACAGACTTTCCAATTCAGTAGGTTTGGAGTCAGAGTCAGGCTCAAGATTTTGCAGTTCTAATAAGTTGGTGAGTTGTACTGGATGTTGCAGATCCTTGGACTATACTTTCTGAGTAATATAGTGATATTTCTTTGGTTGGTCATTGTTAGTATCTACTGGCCTTCTATTGTGTTATTTGAGGATCCCTTGAATTTGTGAAGTTTCCTCGATGCTAACCTAGGCTCCAGCTTTCTGCTACCCAGGTACCCCTCTCAGAAACAAAGGAGTGATCTCTTGTAAAGTTTGCCTTTCTAGTTGTGACTGGGTATAAGCAGTTGTTACTGTCTCCTGGTCAATGCTTTATAGTTTGTAGTTCACATATATTTAATTCATATTACCGTAAGGATAAGAGTTATCGTCCCCATTTTATTGTTGACAAGTAGTGGTTAATAAGTTGATCTTCCTACTTAACATCATTTTACTTCTCTGATTATTATTATTATTATCATTTATTTACCTAGGAGCCCAAAGACACCATTTATCTCAATTGATCAATTTTCCCATTTTTAGTCCAGAAGGATCTAGAATGAGTGTAAATATGAAAGAATATCTAGGTCTCCTGCAGGGGTGGTGTATCCCTTAACAGAGGCAGCCCCCTTCACTCACCCCACCTAGTTTCACGTGACTAGCAGTATCCTTAGAGAAGCAAAGGGAACTCAAGAACTACTCTCGTGCTTATAGAAGCATTGTGCAAATGAGGAATGGTTTCCTGGGAACTCAGCAGATAGCAAATACCAAAAATCACACCAGAAACTATATATAAATTAGAAGATAAAGAGATCAAGGGGGCCTCTGCTCTGTGATCAGGTTGCTGCTAGAAGGCAAATGGTAGTTAATTCTCTCTCCGCCAGTGTTGATGAATCAAAGGGGAAGGTCATAATCTGACTCAGATGGAAAGTATTTATGGAACAGATCATAAAACATTTCACAGATTCACACTGCACTGTCTTCAGTGCTCAGAATATGTTCCAGCCAGGATGTATTTAGAAGTCTCTTGGAATATTTCAAAGGAGTTCTCAGGGATAGGTGGGGAGGGAATTCTTGACGGTTCTTCTTTTCCCATCGTTTGAAATTTGCTGATGTTTGGTTTCTAATTTATCTGGCAGTTGCACTATTCATAAGTGTGTTGACTAAATGGAGAAGGCCAGAGGGCCAGGTGAGGAGGGAAGAGGTTGCTCTCTGAACACATGGCACAAAGAGGGCAGGTAGAGAGGGCTGAAGGCTAAGTCATGTTCCCGAAGGAAAGGCAAAGGGAAACTGATCCAGTTACTCCACTGTACCAGGCATAGGCTTGGAAGGTTTAGACGTGTGCTCCAAGACATCAGCCCTCTTTTCTGTTGTGTCAATACAAGCTTGCCTATCCCCTCTGGGTGGCTTCATGGACCTTAAACCACAGAGATGAGCAAAAGGAGCTGACCTCACCTCTTTCAGTTTGTAAAGGTTATAGAGAATAATAACTATGCAGAGTAATAAATGTATTCATATTAAATAGTTATAATAATAATTTAATTTGCAAAGGCTATAGAGAATAACTATTGCTTTAGCATAATGACAAGCAAATTATGGGACCTGACTGTTGATTTTCCCTAGTGTAACAGCAGTCACAACTGGCTGGTGGGAGTTGCTGTCTTGGTGTATGAAAATAGACCCTTTTCAACAAGAAGAGTTAGAGCAGTGTTTCTTAATATTCTCTCCCTTTCCTTCCCCCTCCCCCTCCTCCTTCTTCAATTATTGCCCTCTTTTTAGATATCTGTGTCCTTAGGACAAAATGTCTAAGCCATTGTAATGTCTAAAATGTTCTCCTATCCCAGGAACCAATTATTGCCCCCCTTAGGGGCAATAATGTCCTCACTGAGAATGCACATAGACGATCCCTAGTCTATGTTTTAAAAATACTTAGGGGCGCCTGGATGGCTTAGTCGGTTGAGCGTCCGACTTTCGCTTAGGTCATGATCTCGCGGTTCGTGGGTTCGAGCCCCGCGTCGGGCTCTGTGCTGACTGCCAGCTCAGAGCCTGGAGCCTATTTCGGAGTCTGTGACTCCCTCTCTCTCTGACCCTCCCCTGCTCACGCTCTCTCTCTCTCTAGAAATAAAAAAAAAAAACCTTAAAAAAAAAAGTAAAAATACTTAATATCTGGAATTGAAAAATCAATTTACTATTATTAGCTGAAAATATGCAGATTCCTTCTGTGTCTATTGACACAAGATAAGACAGGAAGAAAGGGAGGAAGGAAGGAAGGGAGGGAGGGAGGGAGGGAAGTAGGTTATGTTAATAGAGTCCCCGCTACCTTCCAAGCATTTTCACATCCATTATCCCATTTAGTCCTCCTAAGTCTGGAAGATTAGTATTTCCATCTTGTGTTACATGTAAACTTGGAGAGCTTATGAATTTTCCCAAGGCCACAAAGCATTGTCTCTTTCATCTCAAAACTCATTGTTTCTATTCAGGTACCTGTCTGGTAGCCTAGGTTCTTGGCTGAGACAGCATGTGGTTGTAGCTGATACCTTGATGTGTTCAGAGCAGGGCTGGTCCAGGCCCTGCCACCACAGCGGTTACAGTGTTTGAAATTCTAAGGAGAAGTAACCCTTAAATTGCTTTAAAATATGTTGCTCAAAAGCATAACAGAAACACTGAATAGTTACCTGCCATCCAACAGCCTTAGAAAATCTACTGTTTTAATTTTTTTAAATTTTTAAATGTTTATTCGTTTTAGAGAGAAAGAGAGAGAGGGGCACAGAGAGAGAGAGGGAGACACAGAATCTGAAGCAGGCTCCAGTCTCTGAACTATCAGCACAGAGCCCAACATGGGGCTCAAACTCAGGAGCCACAAGATCATGACCTGAGCCAAAGTTGGATGCTCAGCCAACTGAGCCACCCAAGCGCCCTCCACTGTTTTCATTTTATCACTTTCCTCCTTATCCTTCACCAATTATAAACATGACTTTGACCACGTTGCAGTTTTTGTCTCATGCATTATAAATATTTTATTGGCTTTCCATCCTTTTCCCCATGATCTATTTTAATCCATTGGATGGCCATATCATAATTTATGAAAGCATTTTCCTATTTTGAGTATTTAGGATTGTTTGCTATTTAAATAATGCTATAATGAACATCTTCATGTACATAGGTTTTCTTTTTCCCTTCCTTTGGATTATTTCTTCAATATAAATCCCTGGTGTGGTCAGATTATAGGGCCAAAGCATCTGGTCATTTCTAGGGCTATTGAAAAATATTCCCAAGTTGTTCTCTCAAGGGCTTCCTGTATTATAATTATTCAAACTACAGATTAGAGTTATTACAAAGATCTGCAATTTTTAAAGAAAAAAAAAAGTCTTGCATGGTTGCTAGCTTGTGTTTTTTTTGATGGCTTGTGAAGTTGCATATTATTCTAGAAACTAAAGTTGTTAGGTAAAGCTGTGCTTTGGGGCTGTTTGTGCTTTACCTTATGTAAAAATCATGATGTAAGGGCACCTGGCTGGTTCAGTCAGTAGAACATGTGACTCTTGATCTCGGGGTTTTAAGTGTGAGTCCATGTTGGGTATAGAGCTTCCTTAAAAATAAAATCTTTCAAAGAATCATAATCTTTCTGGTTTCTCCCAGGTCTCCCTCCTCCAAGAGGTCTCATCCTCCTACCAAAAAGTCAGACCACTCTAAATTTGACCTGGCAACCAATATTTCCAAGCTCAGAAGATGATTTTTATGTTGAAGTGGAGAGGAGATCTGTGCAAATGAATAGTGACCAGCAGAACATCAAAGTGCCAGGCAACTTGACCTCAGTGCTACTTAACAATTTACACCCTAGGGAGCAATACATAGTCCGAGCCAGAGTCAACACCAAGGCCCAGGGGGAATGGAGTGAAGATCTCATCGCTTGGACTCTGAGCGACAGTAAGTAACTCATGTGGCTCCAGCCTTGCCTGAAAGACATTTGGCTACTGCTGTGTGGCCTTATCTACCATCAAGTCAAGACTGTTTGCTAGAAATCATAAAAGGTAGTTAATTGTGAATGGAAGCTAATTAACCCCACTCCAGCATACCAAATCATTTTAGTAACCTGTAATGCATAAGAAATCTCTATGTATTTGGGTTTGCAATAATTCGGACAGGACTGTGTTAAAGTTTATCTTTCCTTGGTATGGAGTTATATGTATTAAGTAAACTAATATCATTAATAAGGTTTTCTAGGGTTTGTTACATTTGTTACAGGACACTCTTTAGGATTGTCCTGTTTCTTGGGGAACCTGAGTGGCTTAATCAGTTAAGTGATTGCCTTTGGCTCAGGTCATGATGTTGCAATTCATGAGTTCAAGCCCTGCATCGGGTTGTCTGCTGTCAGCACAGAGCCTGCTGCAGATCCTCTGCCCACCCCCCCCTCCTCCCCCACTTTTCTCTCTCTCTAAAAAAAAAAAAAAAAGGATTGTTCTATTTCTTTAGGCACACAAATGCTGGTTATTTAGGTCTTTCCTTATCTTAAAAGCCAAAATAACTTGGCTTGAAAAATCTTCATAATAGATAATTCCTGGGGTTCTAAAATATAATTGAGATATAACCTTTTACTCGAGATAAAACCTTTTCTTTCAAAATATTCTGCAGCTCAGGATTTTCTCTATTTCAAATTGGTCATTTAGAATTAGTTGGGACTTCTTGGGTTTTCTGATAGTATTGAAAGATTTTCATCATTAAGCTAAGAGTCCTCTTTTGATTCACTGCATTAGAACTGTATCTGTGCATTTTGGAGTCCTTGGAAAGATTAAATATTTCTTGGCACTACCGACCACCACTTATGTTAGGATCTTGTGGTCCCTTGCCAACACCTGATGTCTGAGACTCTTCTGGAGCTCTGTCCCAACTTCCTCAGTACCAGGTGTAGAAACTGGCTCTGTGTTTCTCCAGCCACTCTCTTTTATCAGTGAGGTGGGAAGTCACCTGTTTTGTTCAGTGTTGAGGGATTCTTCATTTTGTAAAAAATTCTGTGAAGTTTAAAAGTTACAGCAGAAAGTACATCAAACACTTACATTCCTACCACCCAGAATGAAATAATGGTGCCCCACTGTTAATTTCAATTTTGTTTTTCTTGGGAACTAGCAATTTTGAATATCTTTTCTTGGGCATTTGGACTTTCTCCTTTTTTGGACGTATTTGTTGATACACTTTGCCCGTTTTCTCTTGGTTGTCTTTTCTTATTGATTTGTAAAAAAGCTGTTTATATAATTTGGATACTATTCTTATTATGCACGTTGCAAATATTATTCTCCTTTTTATTTTCACCTTGTCTATGGTGACTTCTACTCCACAGATACTTTAAATTTTGAAGTAATGAGACCTCTCAATATTTGCCTTTATGGTTTATAGTTTTGTTTTGTGGGTATTCTCCATCCCAAGGTCATAATCACATTGTCTGTATTTTTTTCTAGTAATTCTAGTTGTTTTGCTTATTTAGGTCTTTAAATATATGGATGTTATTTTGGTGTATTTAAAAAAATGTTTTATTTGAGAGACAGACAGACAGACAGACAGAACCAATGAGAACAAGCAGGGGAAGGGCAGAAAGAGAGGGAGACATAGAATCCAAAGCAGGATCCTGGCTCAGCGCTGTCAGCACAGAGTCTGATGCGGGGCTCAAACCCACAAACTATGAGATCATGACCTGAGCCAAAGTCAGACACTCAACTGACTGAGCCACTCAAGTGACCCTATTTTGTTGTATTTTAATCTTTTTTAATTTTAATCTTATTTATTCACATAGAGCAAGCTAATGGTCACAATGCCATACTTTGAATAGTCCCCCTAGTGACTTGTGATGCTTTCTTTATCATATGCCTGGTTCCCATATTGGCATGCATCTCTTTCTGGGCACTGTTTTCATTTCCACTGATCTCTTTTTTAAAAATAATTTTCTAATGTTTATTTATTTTTGAGAGAGAGAGCGAGAGAGCATGAGCGAGCAGGGGAGGGACAGAGAGAGAGACAAACACAGAATTCAAATCAGGCTCTGAGCTGTCAGCACAGAGCCCGGTGCAGGGCTTGAACTCACACACTATAAGATTATGACCTGAGCTGAAGTTGAACGCTCAACCGACTGAGCCACCCAGGTGCCCCAATCTCTTTTTGTTTTTGATCTGTGTGTATGTGTTCCTGTACCCTTTCCACCTGTTGAAGTTACTATAGGTTTATGAAATGTCTTGAAAACTGTAGAGTGAATCACTATTTTCTTTTTCCAAGTTGTCTTAGATGTCCATTCACTATTCTAAATAAATTTTACCCTCATTAGAATTATAAGTGATCAAAGTCATGACATCAGTATCATAGCTATACGATTAAATGAGAAGTAGCTAGTAGTCATTGAATGTGGACTTACCTTGGGAAGTTATTTGGAATGTGATGAGGGTGAGAGGTATTATACTGATGGCATTGGTAGAGATGTTAATTGGCAGGGTAGCAGTTGGTCACTGTAGGATCAGGGGATTAGGGCAAGGAGCATGTGGATGAGAATATTTCAGTTTTAACTGAGGTAATTTGTTAATATGCTATGTTGTCATTGTCTAATCATGTGTATAGGTTCTTCAGAAGTAAATCTAATGCTTTCAGTTATAAAGCTTATGTTGGTGCCCAGTCTGTCAATTTCATCTGGTCCAAGTGTAGAGTGGAATGAATTAAATTTGGCATATGGCCCCAAACATATGTAAAAAGAGTATATGTGTGTAATTTTTTTCTGCATGTATATGCAGAGTGTATCATTTGACACTGAACAATTACTTTGTAAGGAAATTAGAATAGGAACCATCATCACAGTTAACAGTTAAGGAACCTGAGGCAGAGGAAGGTAAGTGACTTGACCAAAGTTATTCAGTTAGTAAATTGTGGGGTTAGGACTCAAAATCACATATTTTAATTCTATGTTTTGTTCACTTTTGCCAAACCAGGATACCCATTTGTCTCTTTGGATGGGCAATGGACAATTTCAAAGACAGATCGCTTCTTGGAGAAGTTTATTTTGCAGTCATACCCCCACTTCTAAATTGTTTATGTTCTGACTAGATTTTCCTAAAGTGTTTTAAAATCTGCTTTAGACCCTACTTGGGGAAACTGCTAAAATATAGATTTCTGGATTCAGACTCACTGCATCTAAATCACAGATCCACTAAGCTAGTCCAAAGGGTGACTTCCTTCAGGAATAATGTGAATAGATTGGTAGACATAAATTTATGCTTTTTAGTTGGCATTAAAATTAGCAGGTGTCTGCAAGGCACTGCTTCTTTTTGTGACAGGTTTAGATCTACCACTGCTTTATCACGTTGAATATTTTTTTGAGGCACAACTATATAAACATTAATCATGTGTTAATAGTAGTCTGAAAATGGTAAGAATCCAAATATCCTGTCCTCTCCTTATGGAAAGGAAGAATATTCTATATTTTTATAAAAATATACAAAACATTGGTAGTGGAGGAAAACGAAGTTAAGACATACTGTTGATGAATTAATTGCGATTTGGGACATAGAAAATGGCCATCAGATTTGGGAAGGCTCAAAATCCAATATTTAATCCTCATAAATTGCCACAGTTACCAAAGGATTATGATCAACATCATGGAAAGAGAAAATTTAGAATGAAGAAGAATCTCTGAGAATTTAAGATAGAAAGAATATACCTTAAGACATTTCTCGAAGGTTCTATTTTGCTTCTAAGCTGTAACATTTTATGGAAAGACAGTAGTATGTGGGGTGAAGTGGCTTGGGCCTACTACTTACTTACTGGGCAGTACAAGTCCTTTCATTTTTGAAATCTCAGTTTTTTCATCTCTGAAACTTAGATAATAAAAATCTCAGCACTACTCACCTACCCATGTGGTTATGAAGGCCAAGAAAGAACCTACATATGGAAGCACCTTGTCAACAGCCTCGCAGATGGAAGGTATAACTGATACCAGGGGCAAGACCTTGGATTCCTTCTTCCCAGGGGTCATACAGTGTAGCTCTATTGTATAGAGTCAGTGACATTCCTCTTTCAGGATCCCTTTACCAGACAACACTTTGAGTGAAAGTGCAGGGACAATTCTGTGCAGAGAACAACATAGGATCAAGCAACCCAACCTTTTCTCATGAACTGATGACCCTTTCTAAATCTCAATGTTGGTAGAGGGGACAGGTATTTACATAGGATTATTTCTGGAGATTATCAGGAAAGTCCCACTATCTTCACATCTGGAAAACCTCAGGGCCTCTCTTTCTCATCCTCCCCCAGAATAGAATGTGATCTCTATTTTCCCCAAATCCCAGTAGCACTTTGTCTATTAAGTCCTTGACACATTTTCTCATGTATACACTGACTCGTTACTGCTCCATAAATACATTTAGGGCAAGGATAGGGTTTTTGGGAAAGTGGCTAAGATGATGGACTATGGAGTAAGACTGCCAGAAGTTGAATCCTATTTCTTCTACATAATAGCTGTGTAACCTTGGTCAAGTCACTTCACCTCTCTGGGACTGAATATTTATAAGAGGAAATGAGTTACTGTATGGAAGAGCCTATATAAGTGTAGTGTCAACTCATAATCTTTCTGTTCTCCCCAACATCAAAAACAGTATAATAGATGTTTGTGAGTAACAGAATTTGAAGTCTTAATTTAATGCAAGGATAAGCAAATATGTGATATGCGTGATGATGTTTTTCCTGTCTTATGCCATTTTGTCATGTCTGCATGGAGTCCACTTCCAATTGATTGGAATTACCATCTCAGAAAACACCTATTTGCCATTTATGGTTTATGAGCTGACGTTAAGTATCTCTTAAGAACAGAATAATCGAAGAGATGATAGTATATCCTAAGTGAGTTAAAAAAAATATTTTTTTACATTTCTAGTTCTCCCTCCTCAACCAGAAAACATCAAGATTTCTAACATCACAGACTCCTCAGCCATGATTTCTTGGACAATCTTGGATGGCTATTCTATTTCTTCTATTATCATTCGTTACAAGGTTCAGGGCAAGAATGAAGACCAGCACATTGATGTGAAGATCAAGAATGCCACCATTACCCAATATCACCTCAAGGGCCTAGAGCCTGAAACAGCTTACCAGGTGGACATTTTTGCAGAGAACAACATAGGGTCAAGCAACCCAACCTTTTCTCACGAACTGATGACTCTTTCTAAATCTCAAGGTTGGTAGAGTGGACAGGTATTTACAGAGGACTATTTCTGGAGATTATCAGGAAAGCCCTACTATCTTAGGCTATTTACCTGATATGTATGCTTTGTGACATAACTCATTTGTGCAGATAGGTTTCACCATCGATAGGTTCTTAAAATGAAAAGGCCCCTGGGAAGGAGTCCCTGTTGATCCATCTTCTTTTGTTAAGGCTTAGACTAAATTAGCCCATCGCACTCCCTATCCAGCAGTGGAAGCTCTGAGGAATAGGAAATTGATTCCGTGGAAAAAGAATGTGGAACCCGCTTAGTGGAGGCGGGCCTGCACTGATGCTTCAGTGGGAGTCTCCAAGAACCACCACCATTCTTTCTCAAATGAACTCCTCTTTTAGCTTGGATGACACTATGCCCTTCTGAGTTGTTGTTGTTGTTTTTTAAACTTTTTGGGTCCAAGTTATGATATCTCCACATCCCCCACTAACCCCCACTCCAGCAAGAGTAATCTCTTTGAGGTAGATGGAGATCCATCAGAGTGTCAGACATAGGATTGCCCAGGGATTGAGATTGGTAACACCTGTTGAATGTAGTTAAGTGAACAAGGGACTCAGGGTGGGGGTGGGGAGCTGCAGCTCCTGGGACACCTTCCCTTTGAATTCTGTCTGCAGTGGCACCTCCCAGCCCTCTGTCCTGTGCAACAAGTGCGAGGGAACATAAAGTGATGCTAGATGGAAATGTTGGCAGATTTATAACCTGGACTAGTGTTTATTTTCACAGAAAATCTTACAGTAGTAAAAACCTCTTGGTTTCAAGGGCCACCTAGGGCTTAAGAAATAAGATGAAATAGGCATATTTTCAGTGTTGATTCTTTGGAATATTTTTGAAATGTTAGAGGAATGAGAAGTCTACCAATTACAGAGAATTGGAGTTTTCAGATGACATGCCTAATAAATGCATTACTTTTATAATTTTTGTGTTTTGGTAAAATGTGTACAGGTCCTAAATCCAAGCTCTATATAAAATACAAGCAGAAAAATTAAAAACAAGACAAAAAAAAAACCCCACAAAATCTTCACCATTCCATTCCAGACATGTCTTTATGCACCCATGGGTAGAGACAAAAGGAAGGAAAGAGAGAATCACAAAAGAATACTTGTAAAAAGATGGGGTCATGCTCTACATACTGTTTTTCATAAAAATATATTGCATTTAATTTTATTTGAGTTTAAATAAGGGAAACAGATGGAAGGATTAGACCATAATCTTTAAATTCATTTTGACCTTAGCCCTAAATTTAATGGTTTTTCTCTTGTCTCTCCCTCCTTCCCCTCCTCCTTTCCTTCATTCTCCCATTGGTATTCTCAGATTTTCTCCATAAGTTTTTTAAATAAGAAAGAAAAAAGCAAAATATCTTAGAGACTCTAAGCTCAGCTTAGAACAAGAGAGCTTTTCTAGGTGGGGAAATTGTTCCGGGAACTCTAGCTACTTTACCAAAGTTCTGCATCTAGTCAGCCATTTTCCCTGTTGTTTGACAATGTATAGCCCCTTGGGCTTCTACTTGGAAGTAAAAGTTGGACAAATGAGGAGAACTAATAATTAGCATTTTTGCATTTTTTTTGTAGGTCTTAATAACAACCCTGTGAGGCAGACTCCTCTCCATCGAGTTTCAGAACATATGAATGAGTAGCCCAAGGTGCAATTAGGTGGCGGAGTCAGGGTTACCATGACATTTCCATTACCCTGCAATGTCTCACATAGGTGGTCTTGCCCTATCTCTCCAAAACTAACCCTGCTGCTTCTCCTGTGTTCTGCGCAGCACCAGCGGACCTTGGAGGCGGGAAGATGCTGCTTATAGCCATTCTTGGCTCAGCAGGAATGACCTGCCTGACGGTGCTGTTGGCCTTCCTGATCATGTTGCAGTTGAAGAGGGCAAATGTCCAAAGGAGAATGGCACAGGCTTTCCAAAACGTGGTAGTGTCTCATCTTCCTACTTACTAATACATACAAGTCTGCATGTATGCAGAACCTTCACTTGAAAGATGTGGACCAGGAAATTTACTTTTAAAGCAAATATTTTCATTAGGCAGGCCTCATCTTCTTTTTGACTTCCATAATGAAATGGGAGATAAGCAGCATGACTTTATAATTGTTGTCTAAACTGGAACAGTTGTGAGAGTGAAAATCTTGCTCTTAGTAATTATTCAGGAAGCCAGGCCTAAAACAGTCCCTAACAAAATGAGATGTATGGTCATCCTAGTGATAAATCACCAAGGAGACTAATCTTGTAGTATGAAGAATTGAATACTGTTGGTAAGGAAGGACATGAGTGTGGTCAGACCTCAGTGTCATGGATAATGATGTAGTGTGCTAGAAATTTCCTATTTCCAGTTTCCATTTCCTACTTCTAATATCTTCCACAATCTTATTATCCCTCATATATATTGTATGTATAATATATGTGAATTAAATGTACATGTGTGTATCTCCATTCCTATGTACCCCTCAGTCTGCAGTCATAGTTCTTAATGCCTGGCACTGCCTCATTCTTTCATCTAGAAATTTTGACCAGTAACCAAAGTTCACAAAATTATACTTGACCAATATGCACCCTGTTTGAGCCCTTTGGTTTTACTAGAGCCTGAAGGTTTTTCTTGTTTGTGGCTTTAAGTTCTGTAAAATGAATTTGTACCCAGCTTTATCAATTGCATGTATACAACATTGAGTACAGTTACACATTCCAGATAAGGAATGTCCACAAATCCCTGAGATTCCCCTCAGTAGAAGACAAGGGGGAGCTTTGTTATCTGATTCCATGCCAGAGGTGGCTCAACTCAAGATGTTCCTGGAGAGGAAGGGCCAGCAAGGGGCTGAGAGCACTGGAGCTCCTGCGGTGCTGGTGCTTTGTCATTATATGTGCCAGCCTCTCAAACTCAGGAGAAAAGGTGATGCTTTCTAGGGCTTTGTTATAGGCCTCTGTTATCCTGGGGCCAGAATCTGCTCCAGAGTGGGCTTGAGAGGTGTCAAGTTTAGGATAAGCCAGAGCGAGTGAGTAACAGTCCAGAATAGATCAAGACTAAGCAAGAAAAGCTCTTGTGGAGGCACGGCCTCTTACTGCCCCAGATAGGATTTCTGTGTTCTTTTCCAAACCAGAACTGAGTACCTGCTTATTTCACAGCTCAGTAGAAACTCAAATGTGACTAAATCAGGGATGTGCCATCCTGTGGCATTCCTGTTGTTATTCCCTCCCACCACCCCCCGCCTTGCTCTCTGCAGACATTGCTAATTGATTGTAGCATGTCTTCCCCCTGATGCCTGGCAATGTCCCATGAAGCTCTAGGCAGCCTGTTAGATGAAACCTATTTCCATCTGCATTCTAGAATTAGTTTCTTGTTTCGCCTGGTATGGATACAAACCAGAAGTATTTATGCTTGTCAGAATTATGAAAAATCCTGACCTAAAACTTTTAAAATATGATTTCTCCAGAGGGAAGAACCAGCTGTGCAGTTCAACTCAGGAACTCTGGCCCTGAACAGGAAGGCCAAAAACAACCCAGATCCTACAATTTATCCAGTGCTTG